GCGTGTGTGTGTGTATATATAGAGTATACAAATTAGACATAGTATACAAAACAGTATATATATATATATATATATATTCTCATGCAGTACCTCTCAATTTCAACGAGCATTCTCACTCATCACCTGTAATTGCCCCTCATACAGTACCTCTCAACCTCAATGAGCATTCTCACTCATCACCTCTCATTACCCCTCATCTCAATTTCATTGAGAATTCTCACTCATTACCCATACTCGATCTACACCTTCGAACCCTAAACCCTTGTGGACATGAATCAATTTCATCAGTACTAAACTTCATGCAGTAATCGAAACTGCGGTGCCTAACTGCCTGCTCCGTCCTCTTGAACGCGAAGCTATTAGCTGACGTGTTGTCAAGCAGACACGTTTTATATCAGAAGAACCAAAGTGTAGCAAACCCTTCAGTCATTCACACCTTGACTTCTTCTTGTCTTTTTAGAAGGCGATGGAATTTATGGAAATACAGCATTTTTCTACTATTGTATTTTTTATTTGTTTTTAAAAAATAGGAGAAACCAGTTTTATTAGTTTAGCAATTATTTAGGCCTTCGCCCCTTCAGGCTTCAGGCATCAGAAGTTCAGCCCTTCGGTCGTTCACACCTTCTAATCGACATTTTTCTACGACATAATACATAGGAGGAGCATTAAAGGAGGCGATGCCACAATCGATTTTGACTTTTCGAACACCTGCCTTGAAACTGGGCCAGTAGTTCTGCCAGTCACCGGATTCGGTGGGGTCAACATCACTGGTGAAAGTGGGTGCAGAAGTGGAGGCCATTTTACGGCCTCCAGCGTCTACGTCAGCACCATTGCCAGATCCGACCTCGGTATAAGAGCGACCATACTTGTCTATTCCGTACTTGTTTAAACCAGTGTACGTGAAGCCGTCAGAGTCCATACCGTCGACATTAAACGTCTTACCTTTGAGGGACAAATAGGCGATGTTCTCACTCTCTGCTGATACCACTGTGCCGGTCAGCCAGCATACAGCGGCGGCAGCTAAAATCTTAGCATTCATCTCGTGTCAGTCTTTTCTGTCCTTCTCTCTCGCACAAGAGAACAGCAGCACAGTAAACATCGATGACTCAATGTGGTTTGCATTTATCTTATTTGACAGAGCCCTTTTCTGATAGACAGAAGTTCATCAGCCTTCGGCCCTACAGGGTAAAAACTAAAAACAGAGCGGTTTAGCCTCCTGAATTCCTGAAAGCTAAACTAAAATAAAATGAAAAACTGCCCAATTCGAGTTCACAGAGGTATACATCACAAGCTCTGTGGCACCCACCGAGGACTTCTGGTGTGATGGAGGCTGGATCCAGATCACCAAGGAGGGAGATCTTATGGATGACGACTGGGCCGTTGCCTACATTACTGGATACCTATAAGTAATTGGAGCCAATGTTGATGATGTCGATACATATGATTGGTGCGTAAAGACAAATGATAAGAATAACACTGGTGCATGTGCTTACCAGCACACTGCATCAGACAGCCCGCGGATATCCAGGCCGCTTTCGATGCTGCTACCGACAACCACTGCTCTGAGATTATCCTGTTCGTATGCGACCTTCCCTGTCTCGATGCCATCTGTGTGGCAACGCAAGAGAACTACGCCAAGCTGACTCCATTGCGTCTTAAGGAGATCATTTTCACCAAGACATCTGGAAGTGCCCGCAATATCACCTCTCCTTGTGTAGATGGTGAAGGCATCTACGCGCCATCAAAGCGACATGGCAAGCAATTTACTTTCTGTCCCCAAGGACAGGTATGTATTGTAGATGCCGTTGGTGTCCAACCTGGAGACCCGCAGTGCAAGTGCGAGACGTGTGGCGATATTCCGTTCTGCCTGTCCACCACTTGTGTTGCAGAGCAATTGGAGACAGACCCCAACCCAGCAGAATGGGTTGCTGCTGCACAATGCTACCCAATCTCCGGCCAGTCAGCGTGTGCACTTGGCTCCTTCCGAAATAAAACCGGGGGCTGCAGCCCTTGTCTCTCAGCGGACAACTGCAAGATATCTGTCTGTACCGCACCTGGCAATGTTATATGCTATGAGTGCGAAGGAACCTACATAAATATTGCAGCTCCTGGAGGCACTGGTGAATGCATCTGTTGCACCGAACCGACGGACACATCCTCTGAAGGCCCTAGTCCCAGTTTTACCCCAATTCCAATGCCCACCTGTGATTCAGACCACGTGTGCGAGAATGGCCTGGGTAACGATTACGACTCCACGTCAGCAAGTAAAAATTGTTCATCTACCCCCAACCGCTGTGAAAATACCATCGGCTCGTGCTGCGTGGCCGCGAGCACTACCTGCGAC